TTTTATTGTGCTGAATTTCATCGCGATATTTGTGTTTATAAGCTAATTTGGGACATTCAAGTAATTTTCTGAAGGGGACTTTGTATGGGAGCTAGGGTCAAATGTGGCCCGATCTTTTTGAATTTTGGCAGGGTCATCAAGACTTCTATAAAACTTAGTTGTGCCGTATTTTATCGATATATCTGTATATTTAACATAATTATGAGCTCAGAAGCCCTTTGCGGGGGGTTCTGTTCTATGGGGGCTAGGTGAAATAATAGACCGATCTTAACCATTTTCAATAGGCTTCGTCCTTAGGTCAAATAAAACGTTCGTGCCAAATTTCATCCAATTACCTCGAAAATTGCGACCTGTACCTTGCGCACAAGGTTTACATGGACAGCCAGCCAGCCAGACGGACATAGCTTAATCGACTCAGAAAACGATTCTAAGCCGATTGGTATACTTTAAGGTGGGTCTAGGATGAATATTTTTGTATGTTACAAACATCAGCACAAATCCAATATACCCTCCCCACTAAAGTGGCGTAGTGTATAAAAAGGGTTTTATTAAATAATATTTCGTATTATACACGAAATTTTTGTAAATATTACGAAAATAGAAGTTACGAAAATGTTTTTCGTAAAGTTGAGCATGGATTATTTTCAGTGTAGGGACATACATGCAGTGTCCTGACTGAATAATAAACAATAAATAGGGACTTCTTCATTCTTCAAATGGTACTTTTCGAATTTCCAATAGTGTGGAACCGAAACACATGAATGAGAATCGGTGAAGGCTCTCAAACTATACAATACGGTCTTATATTTAACCTTATCACCTGATATCGAACTAATTGCCTTCTGGCTATCCAGATGGCTCATCTGCACCAAAAAATATTTCTCGTCTGGAAAACCTAATGGAAATCCCTCTCGAAACTACCCCTTTCCTTAACCCAATGTTTAAATAAATAAATTATATCGAACTAATTGCCTTCTGGCTATTGGATATTTAAGTCCAGATGGCTTATCTGCCCTGGATATATTACTCGTCTTGAAAACCTAACGAAAATCCATCACGAAACTACCTCTTTCCCTAACCCAATGTTTAAATTAGTATGTGTGTATATAAATCAATAAGTATATTTCCTCTACTAGTAAAATATTGAATTCTTTAAATATATACATAAATATTTACTTGAATTTATGCAAATATTTTCTAAAAGCAAAAAACGGCATTTAAATAAAAAGAATTCGCCCAAGTCAAACATTAACTAATTAAATAACTTTCTTATAATATTTAAATGTAGTTTTAATATCACTGAGATGTGTTGAACCAACCAACAGACCCAACCAACCACTTGTATATAATCAAACATTTACTTAACACAAAGTAGAGGCGTTGAATATCAGAATGTCTTTTTAAAATGTCGACGATCTTAATGCTAAATACGGCCTATTTCGTAGCTATTATTTATTAAATAGCCTTCAGAATGTAAAATGTATGTGTGTGTGTATTATTGTTAAATAAATATGTTTTAGCGGGGTTTGTTTTTTAAGAAAAGTTATAAATTAAATGAAACATAACAGTTGTGTATAAGATTGTTTTCAAAAAAATGTTAAGTGCTTCTGGGAGTTTAAGTTTCTAATTTTTTTAATTTAAAAATCGGAGTGTGTTTTGGGCCATTAAATTTTTTAATTTATTTTATGTTCCACATGTCATAGATTTATGGATTTTTGTTTATAAGATTGTAGAAATCATATCTAATGTTTTATATACTATTTATAAGTGTGCGGATATAAGATACATAATTAAGATAAAGAATCTTAAACCCACGTTAATCAGAGAGAATCAATATTTCTTGTAACAATTTTGTGTTCTTTTGAAACTGGCCAAGCTACTTATAAAGGCACCCTTTAATAAGTGGGAGTTCAATGACAAAAAATTATCATACCTATAATCTATAGGTTATCCGACCTATAGAAATTCACTCCATCCATACGGTTACCAGCATTAGGTTGCAATTATGCAAGCTGATCATATTAAATCTATAGAGTTTATTCTCGGAAGTAAGTATTAAAGAGAAAGAGAGTTATATTCAACTTAGCCGAGTCTTATGTACCCACTATCAAAACGTTAACATATGTCAATATTAATATGATCATTAGGGGGATTTTTGGAAGATAACCTTTTGGATACTAGGGTCATACCAAACAAATCACTAAACATCAATGAAACACTAATGGCAGTTAATACAACCGATTTACATGAAGACTGAGGATATTTTCTGCATTCATAACAAATACAGATAATATCTTCATTATTTATAAACGATCACAAAAAGAACATTTTCCAAATTTTCCCAAAATTATACAATACATTTTATTGTTTATTAGACTATATGGAAAGTGATTTTTATTAAATTTTATTGCAGGATCTCAAACTCTGTGAAAACTTTCATGATCATATTGATCATCAAATGAGGGTCTTTTTTCTTAGGTTTTGCTGAATCGCTTTGTTTTTCCCGCTCTAGATTCTTCATTAGGTGATTCATACCGATCCGATAGAATTTCATTTTTAACTTCAGCGACTTTATTTATTTGAATGAAACTTGTTAAGATGATCCTCCTCTATATGATCGTTATTAAATTTGTTCGATGTTGATGGTCTGTTCTCAGAATTTCCCTTAATTTTGACTTCTTAGCCAAACTAGTCTTAAGAGTTTGTGAAGCTCTACTTGTTTCTTTTAGTTCCTGTTTCATTTGTGAAACAAACTGATTAGTGAAGGGAACAATTTCATCATCCCGTTTAGGCCCTATAATATTTTCTATACACGGAAAAACATTAGAATCAAAAATGACCCAGAATATATGTATATAATTTTGTTGGTCTACGACTACGATCACGAAATCACAATAACCCCCAACTTTTTTAAATTATGGATTTAAAAAGAGAAACAGAACTCTGAAGGACATAGTCTTGGAGAGTTCACAGAAAACGTTTAAAATGAAGAAGGAAAATACATTTCCTATTCCAAGTGCTACCTCAAGTGCTAATTCTAATTACCATTAGGAGGCCAAGATTGACCATATTGCCTTTCATCATGAAGTTTGTTTGATTCTAGAGAGCTTAGCAAGTAGTAGTTATGATTCCCCAAAAACTTCGATTTCGCAAAACTAATTATGCAGTTATCTTCGATGAAAGATTTGCCACTTTCAAACAATATAGAAGAAAAACTTATGTAAGAAATATGTTTGGTTGGTTTCTAAGTAGACGGAACCAATAAGACCTTGTTTTCCCATTGGCTCCATCTACTTAGAACACTTGTTTAGATAAAATCCATCTAGATTTGGGGAGTTATTAACATCAAGCTCGGACTTTAACATTTAAATGTCCGTGTTTTGATCTCCCTGGGGCCATGATTAAAAACCCTCATCTAGGTGTTATTGTAATCCCGAGGAAAAGAGGTGCTACCAGTACCTCTAGTCTGCCGGGACTATAAACTGGTGATGATTAAATGTATCCTCGACATTTCCCTGGAATGATTTGACATGGAGTCGAAACAGAGAACCACATAACCTGGCGCCACGGCAACCGGTAGCCCGCATTTTAGAGTTTCGGACTTTGTCTTGTCCCGGTTATTGGAGAGGTTCCTTCGGAGTGCACTTGGTGGCTGTGGTTTAAACCCAAATTCGCGGGAAAAAAATGTTGGTTAAAGTTTATAGTTCGGGATAAGTTCGACGCTGTTGCAGAAACAACAGATACCCCACACAGGAGTGACTGCGGGACTTAGCCTTGGAAAAGAGTTGGTGTCAATTGTATATGTTACGGGATGAATTTAGGGGTATACAGAAATTACCCACCCATATACCAGGAGTGAGTGTGTCGGTTTGAATGCTAAGTTGAATGCTGATGGATGAAAGATTTCTTATATAAGTGATACCATCGAATTTTCCTTCAGAGTTTACTCTGTTCATACCAGGTTTATCTCGGGCTATTTGATGGTTTCGTGTTTTGGTCTATCGAATACGTCTCTAGGTGCAGTTGCCGACTCAACAGAGGCCATCCCATCTGCGTGGTTGTTAAAGGAAGTGTTTTTTTTTTTGCATCTCGGAAGTTAAGCAACGGGACAGCAATGGACAGAGATTAGCTCGAGTACTTGAGGAAAGTGCTTTTACATGGACCGGCAAAACCATGTACAAATATTGTAAAAAGCACAATGGGATGGTGGTAAGTCTTCTAATCAATTCACTCTGTGGTTGAAAAAATACCACAGCGATATAATGCCAACACTGCAGATGTAAAGCACTTCGGCATCTTAACCGTGTTCTGAAGGATATCTTAGACTTAGTTCCTTATTGCATTTGAGTGTAAATGATATCGAAGTTTAAAAGGAGGGAAAACTTGTGACTCCGGTAGTTTAGCAGTTGATATTCTAGTCTGTCCGGTCTAACAGACATCGTGGGTTCGATTCCCACCAGAGACACTGGTAAAGAAACTAGAATAGATTCGGTGGAGATCTAGGTGTATTTCTTCGGATTTGATGTATCGTACATCCTTGTTTTAAACCAACTAACTAAATTATACAACGAATATAGATTATAGCAGGATACCCTGAAATGATGACTAAGACCGATAAAACAGAACTGCTATAAATTATGTAACTTAAAGATTATCAAAAACCCTAATCGGTCAAAATGACCAATAGAGTCATTCTACCAAGATGGAAATATAGTAAGATGTCAATTTTAAAGTTCAATCTGTTGGTTTCAAAATAAATAACCTCTGTTGTATATGTCTTCCTGTTTCGATATATCCTAACCTAAAGCTGTGTTCTGGGTTTGGACTTTTTTCAAGTGTTGTTGACTTGTGTATTGGTAAATATAAATATGGTGAAATATGCACAACAAACTAGTTATATAAGCTGCGAATGGAAATGACTTGATCATCGGAACAGTTTATCTTTAAAAACAACTCTACTTCAAAAACTGCATTATCGACACTTAAAAGAGAAGAAATATTAAATATCGAATTAGTTTTTTTTTAATATTCTTTTGGCTGACATTTTGGAAAAGAAATAATTAAAATAATAAACAAATTTTAATCATAATCTGTGATCATTTAAACATGACATCATCAACCTATCGCTGTCTTTGGAAAATCTTCCAATATCTATCTGCTCCGATACGAAATTTGTTAATAGATCTAATATTTCTGGTTGTAGTAGAGTTTATAAAATTCTGCATGATCTTATTATTGATGTTCATTGCGGGCTACTCAATATTATATTTAGTAAGTAAATAATCCAAAGATGCTATACAATAATTGAACATTTTATAACTATAGTGGAGTAACTACAACGAACGTCAGCAATATATATTGAATAGTATAAAATCTAACCGCCTTAGTGATGGACTAATGGATAGTTTTAGTAAATATCCGTATATAGTGGAGGTGCCATCAAAAGCTTCAGCAGAATCATTAAAATTAAGTAGAAAAAAATAAGTCCAGTGGGCTGTGAAATACGAACGATTTACATGAAGACTGATGTTTCAAGAAAGATTTTCGCTAAATTATATGAGGATATTTTCTGAATTTATAACAAATATAGAAAATATCTTCATTATTTATAAACGATCATAAAAATAACATTTTGCTAAATTTTTCTAAAGTTTACAATAAATTTTTTGTTTATTAAACTATATGGAAAGTGATTTTTATTAAATTTTCTTGCAGGATCTCAAACTCTATGAAAACTCTCATGATCATATTGATCATCAAATGAGGGTCTTTCCTCTTTGGTTTTGCTGAATCGCTTTGTTTTTCCCGCTCTAGATTCATCATTAGGTGAGTCATACCGATCCGATAGAATTTCATTTTTAACTTCAGCGACTTTATTTGCCTCAAACTTCTTAAGAAGGTCCTCCTCTATATGATCATTATTACTTTTGTTCGATGTTGATGGTCTGTTTTCAGAATGATCCCTTAATTTTGACTTCTTACCCAAACTAGTCTTAAGAGTTTGTGAAGCTCTACTTGTTTCATTTAGTTCCTGTTTCATTTGTGAAACAAACTGATTAGTAAAGGGAACAATTTCATCACTGTCCCTCGATTTAAAGGGAACTTTATGAATTTCTTTATTAACAAATTGTTCTAAATCAGCTTCGGATTTTATTAGTTTATCTTGATATTCTTCGAATTCTGCTTCAATTTCTAGCTGTTCTAACAGGCTTGCTCGGTTTTTTATTAGATTTTCATCGGGTGGACCAATTCTTAAGCAAGTTTCAGCAACAACTTGATGATTTTCTATATCAGTTTTTGTATTCAGTTCATTTTGATCGTGATCTTCTTGTAGAACATCGTTTAGCTAAGGATTACGAAACATTCTAAAGTTAGCGACAACATAAATTCATTTTCTTTCTTTTCTAGTTATCGATAACATTTCAAATATCTTAAGGAACTTTTCTGTATTATTGATAAGACTAATCTTTTCATTAGAAAAATGTTGGGTTATCGATAACATAGCAATTCCTTTTAGGATATATTTTCTGTAACACTAAAATTTCCTTTAGAAAATTTTCTGTATTATCGATAACACTACATTTTCTTTCAAGAAATTTTCTCTATTATCGATAACACTACACTTTCTCCTTGGAAATTTGAAAATTTCTTTAGAAATTCAAAGATTTCTGTACAAAATTAAAAATTTCGGTTCAAAAATGAAATTTTATGGCGAAATTGAAAATTTCTATTCGAAATTTAAAATTTCTATTCGAAATTGAAAATTTCAATTCGAAATTGAAAATTTCAATTCGAAATTGAAAATTTCAATTCGAAATTGAAAATTTCAATTCAAAATTGAAAATTTCTGTAAAAATTTTAAAATTTCTTTTCGAAATTGAAAGTTTCTGTGCGAAATTTAAAATTTCTATTTGAATTAAATATTTTTTGTACGAAATTAAAAAATTTCTATTCGAAATTGAAAATTTCTATTTTCTATTGAAAATTTCTGTTTGAAATTGAAAAATTCTATTCGAAATTAAAAATTTCTGTTTGAATTAAATAATTTTTGTACGAAATTGAAAATTTCTATTGGAAATTGAAAATTTCTATTTGAAATTGAAAATTTCTGTTTGAAATTGAAAAATTGTATTCGAAATTGAAAATTTCTATTTAAATTGAAAAATTCTATTCGAAATTGAAAATTTCTACTCGAAATTCAAAATTTCTATTCGAAATTGACAATTTCTGTTTGAAATTGAAAAATTCTATTCGAAATTAAAAATTTCTGTTTGAAATTGAAAAATTCTATTCAAAATCGAAAATTTGTGTAAAAATTTAAAAATTTCTTTCTGAAATTGAAAGTTTCTGTGCAAAATTTAAAATTTCTATTTGAATTAAATAATTTTTGTACGAAATTGAAAATTTCTATTCGAAATTGAAAATTTCTATTCGAAATTGAAAATTTCTATTCGAAATTGAACATTTCTTTTCGAAGTTGAAAGTTTTCTGTTCGAAATTGAAAGTTTCTATTCGAAACGGAAAATTTTTATTCGAAATTGAAAATTTCTGTTCGAACTTGAAAATTTCTATACGAGATTGAAAAATTCTATTCGAAATTGAAAGTTTCTGTTGAATTAAATAATTTTTGTTCGATATTGAAAGTTTCTATTCGGAATTGAAAATTTCTATTCGAAACTGAAAATTTCTATTCGAAATTAAAAATTTCTATTCGAAATTGAAAATTTCTATTCGAAATAGAACATTTCTTTTCGAAGTTGAAAGTTTTCTGTTCGAAATTGAAAGTTTCTATTCGAAATGGAAAATTTCTGTTCGAAACGGAAAATTTTATTCGAACTTGAAAATTTCTATACGAGATTGAAAAATTCTATTCGAAATTGAAAATTTCTATTCGAAATTGAAAGTTTCTGTTGAATTAAATAATTTTTGTTCGATATTGAAAATTTCCATTCGAAATGGAAAGTTTCTATTCGAAATTAAAAATTTCTATTCGAACTTGAAAATGTCTATTCGAAATTGAAATTTTCTTTTCGAATTTCTTTAAGAAATTGAAGTTTCTGTTCAAAATTGAATACGGTTAATAAATTACTTACAAATTGAAATGACCAAATGGCAAAATAATAAACGATTAGAAGAATTAAAGCGAATTTAAAAAATTCCTTGCACACATTTAAAAAACCATCAAGAATCACAGCAATTGATCCTCTAACAAAGCCTTCAAGTAAATACTGAATTTGTTCAATTATTATCATGTTGCTTTAGCAAACATGTTGTTTTTATATAAACAAAATATAGAAAATTAAAAAAAATTTAATTTATTTAATAAGAAATTTAAAAAACAGAAAAGAATAATTAGAAATTGAAATTAAAAGTCAAAAAGAAATCTACTGTGGTCTCTCTAGCGGTGAGTAGTAATGCTATTGCTTACATATATTAATTTAGCTTAGACAAAAACCTTTTTGAATTTAATTTTCTTGTAGTGGCAACATTGTTAACATATGCACTCATAGTTCTATTTAGTAGTATTAAATTCCTACTACCTTTTTTCCAACAGCTGTTTATTTGTTATTGTTGTTAGTGGATTAAATGATAACAATCTTATCTCTGAACTATAAAATAACTATTATTTAGCAAATTCTTTAACTTTTTCTTAATTAAATGATAAAAAGAATCATGTCGGATGTTGATGTAAAAGCCGGTATTCAACATATTCTGAAAAGAATTGATGTCGCTTTTGAACAACGGCCCAAGGTTAGTTTTTGTTTTATGTTATTTCTAAACAAAATGTTTTAAGATTATGTTCTTACTTTCCAGGAGTTAAAGGGTGACAAGCCGCTCTTGGTGGCTGTTAGTAAAACTAAACCCGTAGAAATGATAATCGATGCCTATTCAGTGGGTCAACGTCATTTTGGGGAGAATTATATACAGGAATTAGTAGAAAAAGGCAATCATCCTGATATTTTGTCACAGTGTCCCGATATAAAGTGGCATTTTATTGGTCATTTACAAAGTAACAAAATAAATAAGGTACAATATTAGTTTCCTTTTTTTTTAATAAATCCTATTAGATAAAGATAAGATGTATAGTGACATAGCTCCAAATGTGGTTTGTTTAAACAAATTCTATTACATTTTACTATTCATTAGAGAATGGTGACTTCTATTATATAAAATTTAATTTAAACTATTATTAACTCTATTACAGATAATTAAACTACCCAATTTATATATGATCGAAACTGTGGACAGTCAGAAATTGGCCAATCATTTAAATAACGCCTGGGAAAAGGTAGAAATTGAAAATAAACAACCCTTGCAAGTGCTCATACAAATAAATACCAGCGGTGAAGAGGGTAAAATTTTAAATTTCTTTTTAAATCTCTTAAATTAAACTATAAAATGTTTCTTTTTAAAATCCCAGCTAAAAATGGTGTACCACCAAGTGAAGCTTCTGCTTTGTTTAAATTTATTAAAGAAAATCTTAAACAACTTGATGTTAAGGGTGTTATGACCATTGGAGCTTTTGGCTTCGACTATAGTCAAGGACCAAATCCAGATTTTGTTAAACTAATGGAAGTGCACAAGCAAATTTGCCAAGAGAATCAATTGAATGAGGCTGAATTACAGGTGTCGATGGGCATGTCGGATGATTTTGAAAGAGCGGTAGGTAGAATAGTTGTGTTTAGATTTTATTTAAAAATAATCTAAATTTTTCCATTAAAATGAAAGGGTTTTGTTGAAAATTAAACATTTTTATTCGAAATTAAATATTTCATTACGAAATTGAAGATTTTGAAACAAAATTGATTCTTATGGAGATTTGCTTTTAGAAATTTAAAATTTTTGTTCTAAATACAAATTTCTATTTAAAATTTGTAATTGAAAATGAAAATTTTTATTTGAAATAGAATATTTTTATTCTAAATTTTAAATTTCTGTTTTAAATAGAAAATATTTATTCCAAATTGAAAATTTATATTTGAAAATGAAGATTTTGAAACAAAATTGATTCTTTCTGAGATTTTCTGTTCTAAATGCAAATTTTTATTTAAAATTTTTAAGAGAAAATTAAAATTTTTATTCGAAATAGAAAACTTTTTATTCGAATTTGTAAATTTCTAATTAAAATAGAATATATTTATTCCAAATTGAAAATTTCTATTTGAAACTGAAAATTTGTGTTTGAAATTTTAAATTTTTAATCAAAATTGATTCATTTTGAGATTTTCATTTAGATGTTTAAAATTTCTGTTCTAAATGAAAATTTTGATTCGAAGTAGAAAACTTTTTATTCGAAATAGAAAATTTTTTATTCGAATTTGTAAATTTCTAATTGAAATAGAAAATATTTATTCCAAATTGAAAATTTTTGTTTGAAATTTAAAATTTTGTGTTTGAAATTTAGAAATTTCTCTTTGAAATTAAAAATTTCTATCTGAAATTGAAAATTTTTAGTTAAAATAAAAAATTTCTATCCGAAATTGAAAATTTATATTGAAAATGAAAATTTTTGTTCGAAATTAAAAATATTTTTCGAAATTGAAAATTCCTATTCGAAATTGAAAATTTCTATACGAAATTGAAAATTTTTATACGAAATTGAAAATTTCTATACGAAATTGAAAATTTTTATACGAAATTGAAAATTTCTATACGAAATTGAAAATATTTATTAGAAATTCAAAATTTTTATTCGAAATTAAAAATATCTATTTGAAATGGAAAATTTTTGTTTGAACTGAAAAATTATCCTTTTTATTCGATATTAAGATTTCTATTCGAAATTGAAAAATTTTATTTAAAAATTAAAATGTCCATTCAAAAGTGAAAATATTTATTTACAAGAGAAAATATTTATTTCTTTTAAAATTGAAAATTTATAAAATTTCTTTTGAAAACTAGAAATATTTATTTAAAATGGAAAAAATAATTCGAAATTGAAAAAATTCTATTTGAAACTATCAATTTTAATTCGAAATTTTAAATTTGTATCCGAATTGCAAAATTTGCATTAAAAATTTAAAATTTCTGTTGGAAATTAGTAGTTTCTTTTGGAAATTAAGAGTTTCTGATCGAAATTGGAAATTTCAATTCAAAATTAGAAATATCTATACAACAATTTCTTGTCGAAATTAAAATTTTTTTCAAAAATTAAAATTTTAATTCGAAATTGAAAATTATTATACGAAATTCAAAATTTCTATTCGAAATAAAAAAATTTATATTTTAAATTGAAAATATATATTCGAAAGTCGGAAATTTCTATTCGAAATTGAAAATTTTTACTCATAATTGAAAATTTTTAATCGAAATTGAAAATTTCTATTCGAAATTCTAAATTTCTATTCGAAATTCTAAATTTCTATTCGAAATTCTAAATTTCTATTCAAAATTCTAAATTTCTATTCAAAATTCTAAATTTCTATTCGAAATTCTAAATTTCTATTCGAAATTCTAAATTTCGAATAGAAATTTAAATGTTCTGTTCGAAACAGAAAGATTTTTAGTAGAAATTGAAAATATTTATTCCAAATTGGAAAATATTTATTTCAAATTAGAAATTTATTTTAAAATTAAAAATTTCTATACGAATTTTGAAACTTTTTGTTTAAAAAAATAAGCTTGGAATAGAAAATGTTTATTCCAAACTGAAAATGTTTGTTCAAAATGAAAAATTGTTATTCGAAATTCAAAAATTTTAACCGAAATTAAATTTTTTTGTTTAAATTTAAACATTTTTATTCGTAATAAAATTCGATATTTAAAATTTATATTCGAAATACTGAATATTTCAAATTAAATTAATATCTACTATTTTCCGAAGTTGAAGTTCTTGTTTTAAAATCAAAAGTTTTTATTCGAAATATAAAATTTCTTTTCGAAATTGTAAATTCTTATTCGAAATTTAAAATTTATATTCAAAATTTCAAATTTATGTTCCAAATTAAAAATGTATATTTGAAAATTAAAATGTTTATTCAAAATTGAATATTTCTTCTTGAAATTGAAAATTTTTATACAAAATTTAAGTTCGAAATTTAAAATTTCAGTTTGAAATTAAAGATTTGTATTAAAAATTAATAATTTCTTTCTGAAATTGAAAATTTTCTAAACGAAATCAAAAATAACAACTGTTTATTTAAAGAATTTCTGTTTGAAATTATAAATTTTTATTCAAAATTATAAAATTCTTTTCAGAATTGACAATTAAGAATTCGAAATGAAAAATTATAAAAAAATATTACACTTTAAATAAAAATTGTTAAATTTTTAATAAAAATTTCCACAAATTTTAAAATTTAAATAAAAAACTTCTTTAAATTCCATAATAAATTAAGTAACAATTTTTAATTTTCACTTAAAGAACAAAAATTATATAAAATTTAAATTAAATTTTCAACAAATTTTATTCAATTATTTCAAACTTTCGCCTCCAGTATGGGAAATATTCAATAATGTAAACAAAGTTTTCTTGTATACATATGATTAAATTGGAAAAAAAGTTTATTTATCCAATATTGTATACGATTTATTATTATTTCTCTTTTTTTTTCATTTCTTCCAGATTGAAATGGGTAGTACTATTGTGCGTGTAGGTAGTTCTATTTTTGGTTATCGGGCTAAAAAGACCACTACTGCTTAAGTCATCTACGAATGGTACGATCTTATACAGCGAGTAAATTGTATACTAAATACAAAAATCTAAATTGTATTTTATTATTATTGTTGTTGCTTTTAGCTGTTGTATATATGTGAAAATGAGTAAGCAATATAATACTTATTATTATTGTTGTTGTTTTTGTATAAAAAAGAATATATATGTAAAAGAAAACTTTTCATTTATTTACTAAAGAATGTTTTTTGTTTTTAGAATTTAGGACAATACTACATGATGATTGTTTTTCCCTCTACTAGATGACGCAGTTTGATTATTGAACATGTATTTGTATATGATTAAGTTTATACACACATTTAAATAAATTTACCTATATACTAAGTTGAACAAAAAAAAACTTAAAATTAGTATTTAACTAAGGAAGTTTGTTTGTTTAAATGAAAATAAAATGATTTGTATATAGAATTTTGAAAGCCAAAACAAATTGTTTGTTAAAAATACGTGCTTATACAAATGCATTATTCGAAAATCTTTACCAAAAACTGAAATTATTATAAAAATAAACATACAATTCAATAAAATTATATATTGTTTCAAAGATTTTTTTGTTTAGATATTTAGAAAACAATTATAAAATATTCATATGTTGTGGTTTAATATTAAATTGAAAAATTCTGTTTGAATTTAAAAAAAATATGTTTGATTATAAAGATTTTTAGTTAAAATTGAAAATATTTGTTCGAAATTTAAAATTTCTTTTTAAAACTAAAGATATTTTTGTTCAAAATTAAACATTTTTGTATTTATTTAAGAAATTCTAATTAAAATCAAAATTCAAATTTAGGAATTTTTATTTGAAATTGAAATTTTTTTAAGAAAATTCAATCAAAATTTAATACTTCAGTTCAATATTTAAATTTTATACCTAAAATTTTAAATTTCTTTTGGAAAATTAAAAATTTTATTTGAAATTTCAAAACTTTTGTTGGAAATAAAAGTTTTCCTGTTCAAAATTTAAGAAAATTTAATGTTTGAAAATTAAAATTACTGTTTCTACATGAAATTAAACATTTCACCTCGAAATATAATATTTATAACAAATTAAAAAAATTCTATTCTAAAATCAAATATTTTACTGGAAATTGAAAATTTGTTTTCAAATTTAAAAATTTCAGTTTGATATTTAAAATTTCTTTCCAAAACGATAGATTAAATCACGAAATTTAAAATTTATTTTCGAAACTAAAGATTTCTGTTCAAATATTTGAAATGCAAATTTTCAGTCGATTTTTTTTATTTAAATTTAAACCGAAATGATACATTTCTTTTCGTTATTAAAAATATTATATTTTAAAATCAAAAATTTAACTCCAAATTGAAAATTTGCTTTTAAAATTTATGTGTTCGATGTTTAAAAATTTTTAACAAAATTAAACAATTCCTCACGAAAATTAAAACTTTAGTTTAAAATAGCAAATTTATTTTTTTTTTTAAATTTTAGGTTTTGAAAATAAATTTGCAATTTTAAACTAAAGTTTTTATTTTCGTGAGGAATTTTCTATTCAGATTAAAGAATTTCTGTTCAATATTAAATTTTCTTTTTAAAATTAAAAATTTCTTCCCAAAATTTAAACCTTTTTTTTCAAAATAAAAAATTATTTTCCGAAATTAGAAAAAAAATATATGTTTGAAATTTGAAATTTCTTTTCAAAACTAGATTCATGTTCACAATAAAAATGTTCAAAATCTCAACTCAGATTAAAGAAATTATGTTTGAAATTAAAAACTCATATTTGAATCGAAAGTTTTCAGTTGATTTTTAAATAAAAATCAACCCGAAATGAAACACTTCTTTTCGAAATTAAACATTTTTTTTTTTCAAATCAAAAATTTTACTCAAAATTTAAAATATTTGTTGGAAATTTTGTTTTGTTTTTAAAAATTTAATTTTCTTCTAAAAATTATAAAAATTTAATTTTGAAATTAAAAATTTCTATTCGAACCTAAAGATTCTTTTTCAAAACTAAACATTTTCTTTTCAGATTAAAGATTTTTGGTTCGAAATTAAAAACTTTTGTTAGAATTGCAAGTTTTCTGTTGATTTGTAAATAAATAAACCAGAAACGAAACATTTCTTTTCGAAATGAAACAGTTCTATTTAAAAATTTTAATCGAAATTGAAAATTTGTTTTCAAAATTTTAAATTTTAGTTCAACGTTTAAAATTATTTCAAAATTAAAAATTTCTTTCCGAAGTATAAAAATTTGTTTTGGAATTAAAAATGTCCATTCACAACTAATGATTTATGTTCGAAATTAACAATTTTCTATTCAAATTAAAGAATTTCTATTCAAAATTCAAAATTTTTTCTTCGAAATGCAAGTTTTTTGTTAACTTTTAAAATATTTAACAAAACTTTATGTTCGAAAGCTTAGAAGTTTGTTCAAATTAGAAAATTTCATTCGAAATTATAGTTTTCTCTTCGAAATTAAAAATTTCCATTCGAAATAATAGATTTTCTCTACTTTTAAACAAAATGTAAATATTGTTTATTTTGATTTAAATAATTTTATTTGAAATTCAAATTTTCTATTTTAAAACTTAAAATTTTATTTGAAATCAAAATTTTGTATTTAACAATTCTATTAGAAAAGTTTAAAAGTTAGAAAAATTTTAAAATAATAGAATAATTCAGTATTTCGAGTTTTTTTAAAAATCGTAAAAAAATTTAATAATTTTATGCAAACAAATAGTTTAAAACTGTTCCCTCTAATAACGCGTATAGTATGTCTGTCTCTTTTAATATTAAATATAATATGAACACCATCCGTACTAGACTAATAAGGGGTCAATTTCAATTAAAAACATTTTAAATTTTTTTTCTCATTTTTTTTTTCAAACAGAATTAAACACTAAATTTCATTTTAGACGAGGTCATTTTAAGTAAATAAGAAAATGGCTTAAAGCCAAGTACCTTTGAAATAATTTCAAATAATTTGCTTTTTTTTTGTTATTTTTGTTATTCTTCTCTAAATTTCATTTCAATAGTGGCAAATACCACAAAAAGTATTTTTGAGTTTTTAGCCCCACAATCTAAGAAAAAAACCTAAAAAAAATTCGAAATAATCATAAACGATGAAACAATATATAGATTTATACGTTTGTATAAAAGAAATAAACAAACTGAGAAAAAAATGTATCATAAATACAATGGTTGTATTTATAGATATGTACAGACATATGTTTTAATGTTAAGAACCCTGCAATGTTTGAAACGTTTTGGCATACACATACATACCTATTCTGTTAAATCTTTATAGTAAAAAAAGTGTAAAAATATGGCCCTTCAATGCCCACAGTACCGGACGTTAGACCAATATTGAATGAAGATTGGAGTGATTGAAAAAAAAAAACGATGTTAAACCTTAAACGGAAATATATTTTTATAATTATACTAGCTATACCCAGTGTGCTTCGCTACCCTCATCGTAATGGAATAAAATAAATATCATTATTGTAAATGTATATATATCTGCAATATCAAAAATTCCCCTTTTAGAGAACTCTTTAAGTTTGATTTTATGATTCTAGTCTCAATATTACAGAAAATTAAAAAAAACAGTTGAAGAACGAAAAAGTGCCTTTTTATATATTTTCATTAAATCAGGATGACGCATGTTTAATTTTCAACCAGAAACCAAAAAATCGCATAAAGATTTTTATACAATCAGGAAGCTACATGTCCAATTTTATGTTTAGGTTCAATATTATAGAAAATTCGAAAAGTATTAGTAAAAGAACAAAAAAGTACCAGAGTATTCTTTTTCAATTTTCGTTCAATTGGGATATTGCGTGTTTAATTTTATGTTTATATATTCAATATTTTAGAGAGCTCTAAAAGTACCAGTACCAGTGAAGTACGAAAAAGTACCAAAAAACCTATTTTATTTAATTTCATGTTCCTAAGTTCAATATTATAGAAAATTCAAAAAGTACCAGAAAATATTCCAGTTTAAATTTTCATTCACTCAAGTCCCTGATTGCTTTTATAGATTCTAATTAACTCCGGGCTCCACATGCTTAATTTCATGTTTCTAGGATCAATATTATAAAAAACACAAAAGTACATTTGAAGAACGAAAAAATACCAAAAAGTGCCCTTTTATAGGTTCTCACTTAATGCAGGCTCTAAACGTTTAAGTTCATGTTTCTAGGTTCAATATTATAGAAAATTCAAAATGTACCTTTTAAAGAACGAAAAAGTACCAAAAAGTCCCCTTTTATAGGTCCTCACTTAATCCGGGCTCTACATGCTTAATTTCACGTTTCTAGGTTCAATATTATACAAAAATCCAAAAAGTACCTTTTGAAGAACGAAAAAGTTCCAAAAAGTCCCCTTGTATATGTTCTCACTTAATCCAGGCTCTACATACTTAATTTCATGTTTCTAGGTTCAATATTATAAAAAATTCAAAAAGTACCTTTTGATGAACGAAAAGTCCCCTTTTATAGATTCTCATTTACTCCGGGCTCTACATGCTTAATTTCATGTTTCTAGGTTAAATTTTATAGAAAACTCAAAAAGGACCAGTCGAAGGACGAAAAAGTACCAAAAAGTCCCCTTTTATAGATTCTCATTGACTAAGGCCTCCGCATGCTTAATTTCATGTTTCTAGGTTAAATTTTATAGAAAACTCAAAAAGTACCAGTCGAAGGACGAAAAAGTACCAAAAAGTACCCTTTTAGAGATTCTCATTTACTCCGGGCTCTACATGCTTAATTTCATGTTTCTAGGTAAAATTTTATAGAAAACTCAAAAGGTACCAGTCGAAGGACGAAAAAGTACCAAAAAGTCCCCTTTTATAGATTCGCATTTACTCCGGTCTCTACATGTTTAATTTCATGTTTCTAGGTTCAATATTAAAGAAAATTCAAAAAGTACCTTTTGTAGAACGAACCTGTGTAGAACGAAAAAGTAGCGAAAAGTCCCTTTATTATTAATTTCATGTTTCTATTTCAATATCAAAGAAAACTCAAAAGGACCAGTTGGAGAATGAAAAGTACCAAAAAATATCACTTGGTACCGGGGTTCCAAATAACACCCCATTAGGATATTTAGTGTTTCTAAATTTAAAATTTTTATCTAAATTGGATCATTGTGGTTGAATAAAATAAAATTTCCCGTTTTTACCCCTTTTGGTACTTTTTTCCTCCCCATTAACGAAATAAAAATTCTATTCCAAAAAGTTGCAACATCGTAGTGGGAGCCCGTTATTATGTATTCATATGTATAAGTTAATAAACCAAAAACAATGTTTTATGAAAAAAGTACCAAAAATAGGTACAATTTTAACCCCTTAAACGTCCGAATATCCAAAAAGTACTAAATTCATATTT